ATAAGCTGCCTATACTCCATTTGGGGGTAACAGGAGTAAGTAAGTAAGTTAGTAATATGTAATGAGCAAAATGTTAGTGAATTTTTTCTAAATATCAGTAAGCTTTACTTCGTAAAATAAAATCTGAATAAACTAATAGGAATAACTGTAATAATTTGTCTTTTCGACGGCTAATTCAGTAAGTTGATATGGCGGGGAGGAAATTTGTAGATCAGTTGGACGATTGTGATGGAGTTTCGATCTTGGAGCTGGAAGTTTATCAACCAATCAGAAGAGTCATAAACAAACAAAAGTTCAAGAAACAAACCAGAGGTGTACACAATCAAAATAAAGATGCTGACAACCACCTGTTTAAGATCAATATCAACCAATCAAGATCCAGGTCAAAAGAACAACCGACGATTCATCCATGGAGAAATTCGAATACTTCACTTGTCCTACCTGAAGTGTGTGCTGATAATGATGTTGTTCGGAAGCTGAACAATGATGAAACCTCCTCAACCAAAACATTCAGCTCAAAGAACGACACTCCATTATAAATCAATATGTTTCCTACCTTTTCAAAATGATTTATACTAAATAATTATTGTCAACCATAGTTCATTCAATAAATAATGTCTCTTTTTAAAACACATCACACTGTTTCAATAATGTTGAACAACAAAGATTCATCAAGAATTGAGTATAGAAATAGTTAAATCTGACAATGATCAAGTTATGCTTGATTGATTATCTATCGTAAGAAAAATTTCGCAACTTTCAAATAATTTTTTTATAATCTTACTTTTAAAAACAGTGGTTCTCTTTGATAAATTTGAACAGAGAAATGAGAAGACCTATTTTGTGAGATAGTACCATTTCGTGCTTTCTCGTCAGTCACATACAAGCAACATGTTATTTGTGTAAATACAGTTTTGAAGATAAGGTCAAAATTTCTTATTTAGTATGACATTCACTCACTAGAACCATGGTAATAAAGGTCAACATACAATTATATTGGGGCACAGTTTTGGAGGTTTGCGTTTTTACACATTTGAAATCATTAATCAATCATCATTGTCAGTAATTTTTAGGTGGGAGCGGTTTCAAATGAGTAGTAGTATATTTAATTTTTACTAATTATTCTTACTAATTGTAGAATTTAGTTAATCAAGATTGAAATAGTGAATCAGTTAAGTTGTAAGTTTAAATTTCAAAACAAATCGAACACAAAAGTAAGCTGAATTGTTACATTGTTTTTCGCTGTCGTTTCCTTAATCGAAATGAACTCTTAGCTAATCAGCTTTGTTATTAACGTTGATTTAGTAAACAATACGTTTTTTTGCACATTTTTTTAAAGCAAATCTTTACACATATCAAGAATTTCTAATAGTTAAGCGTTCGCACGCGAAACCGAAGGTCCCAGGTTCGATATCCATGATCCGAGGATGTGGATGCGCACTGCTAAAGAGTCCCATATTAGTATTCAATGGCAGTCCGATGATTGCAGGTTTCTAGCGGTGATCTAACACTGATCGGTTACTTAAAATCAACGAAACGCAACGATCATCACAATCCTATGATGAAAACCTGATAATTGAATAAATCAAACAATGATCTCTTAAAATATGTAAATTTTCTATTAAAGTAAAGTAATCAAATCCCCAATAAAGTCATATCTCACCTACAAATAACATATTACACTTCCTTTTTATTGTGAGATATACCGTTTTAAAGGTTTATGTGTACTATTACTGAAAACATGAATCAGTTGTTGTTAGACCATCACTTGAAACCTAGAAGCACCAGACAGCCATTTTGACCTGATATTAGACTCAGTAACAGTGCACAGTCACGATTCCTACAACTCACAGGTTTCAAACCTTCAGTCTTTAGCGATAACGCCTAAACTATGAGCCAGTATCTACAGGTATTATTGACTAACTTTGATCGATCCACGGTCTTGCACAACCTCATCTACTGTATTCATTGAGCACCGAATAGGGTTTCTGTTACAGAAACATTTGTATAATTGCAAAAAGGTATTTTAAACAACCTAGTTACATATGTACTGGTCAAGATAATCAAATGTGGGAAAACTGATGAAAGACAACTGATTTATAAAACGTTAAACTAGTGTTAAGTGATAATTACGAGAGTGTAATGATTATATTTCTACGTATTAAGAAGTTTGTAACAACGTCGTATGACAGAAAATAAAACTCCGCCCGGAGCCCCTCTCAGACTACTGCTGATCCCAAACCCGGATAAAGGAGGAGGGTTGGGCATGGAGTCGCCAACACCATCTCACCAAAAAAACAAACCCGCTAAAAAAACGCTAATCAGAAAACATAATTCACGGAAGTTTGAAAAAGTTTTTGACAACGTCGTAAGACAGAAAAAATTTATTGAAATGAATGTTCCATTCATTCAGATAAGTTCATATTTGAATATAAAGTGAATTTTCTGTGAAGAAAGTATATACCTAATCATTTTAAAAACTAATTACAACCAGTATTGATGCAAATGCTAAAATCATGAAACTCTTAAACTGTCCACATTGACGATGCCCTGTAAACAGGACATATGAATTCAACCGATGGTAAATATTATATATGCACTGCTAGAGATCTCCACATCAGAATAAAACGACTACCTGGTATTTCCAGGAGTTTTCATGGTTGCTTAACTAAGCTCTACTCATTGGATGATGTAGAAACAGGTAGAAAAAAATAGCTTCAATTATCCCCAACATGCACATCAAGAATTTAGAATCATAGTTTTAAACATGAATAATTTAAGATTCCCATTGTGAAAATTAGAACAACACATTTAAGCGAACAATATTGTTTTCAATTAGATCGTACGATGGAAAGTTGACCTTCCTTGACGTCACACTAAGTAGGCGAAGTGATGACTTGCTAAGTAGAAGTGTATATAGAAAAAATCCCGCTGTTTGCCAATACACTACAAAGGAAATTTGGTTAGATGTCTCACTAGCAGAGCAAAAATGATCTGTTCAATGGATACTTTAAGTAAGGAGTCGGCTACCCCAGTGCGTTCTTAAAGAAGTATATGTACAATCTGAAATAAGAAGCCGGAGACTTCGACCGTTCTAAATAAGCCATTATTTATTAAATTACAGTTGCACAGAGATGTGACCTGCGATACTCTGCAGGACAGATTAATGAGAGTAATTAGTAGAACATTCAACGCAGCCAAACTTGCGTTGACCTTCTCAAGTCGACCAGCGATGTCTATCCAAACGAAGGATAAGTTACCTGAGTTGGCCTCCTCTATGTGCATTTACAAATTCAGCTACTCCTGTGGAGATAGCTATATCGGGCGTACTATCAGGCAACTTAACCAACGAATGAGTGAACATCTCCCAGCATGGTTTAAGAAGGGTCAGTCAAAAAACAATACGCAATTCTATATTAGCACACCTGGTTGATAGTGGTCATATTGTAGATAAGCCTAGATCTTTTCGGGTGATCTATCTCGTATACCTCAATCATTTCCCAACGGAGTTCGATCTCGTCTCCTACACATAGCAGAATCCATAGTCAGTCAGTCAGATGCAACGTAGAACTTCGTACGTAAGTACATCAGTTCATGTCGCCATACCACATCAGCACAGAGATGTAATTGTCAATTCAAATCCAATAGTAGAAGAGGTAGTGAAGGTATTAGGAGTAATCGAAGAGAAAAGTTTAGAAAGTCAAAACTAGAGTTGTTGAAGAACCCAGAAGATTAGGATCTGAGAGAACACAAAGAATAAATGCATCGGCGCCATTGCAAACGATTTTGAGACATGTCATTCAAGGTCTCTAACCATTGGTGACTTTCGTCTCGCGGACCCCAACCAGGTAGTCGACAATTACCGACATGGCTCAGTCCACTTGTCAATAACTTCATGAATTTCTGCCACGTTTTGGTTTGGCCGCCCCTAGCTTTCTTCCAACCTACTCCTACACCACAAAACATAGCTCGACGAGGCAGTCGATGAAGTTTCACCACTTCATCTATTGATCTGCCATCCTTACCTAGCACCCGATTCCTAATAACAGCGTTGCTCACTCGGGTGTCCCACGATATACGAGCAATGCTTCGAAGACACCTATGATAGAAAACCAGTAACCTACGAATATCTTCTACTCTCACTGGCCATGTTTCACAGCCATAAAGTAGGACGGAGCGAACCACTGCGCAGTACACTCGTCCTTTAGTCAGCAAACGGATATCTCGCCTTCGCCATAAGTGACGCAGGTTGGCAAAAGCCAATCGAGCCTTGTGTATCCGAACTGAGATTTCGTCAGTCACCAGGTTATCGGCACTGATGAGACTCCGCAGATAAGTGAAGCGGTCTACACGTTCGACTACTTCACTCCCTATCACCAGAATCCATAGGAATTCGTACATTCAACCCCAATTTATGTGTTCAGAAGAAATTCGTGACACCCCTATCTCTTCTGTGGCCGGATATGACTTAACTAACGTTTTAGAAACTTTTTAAAATTTTATTTTGTTATTTACTAGCAATATTTTCACATCCTGTATTTGTTGGTAATTTTCTGCCTCTTCCCGTTTATATTCTTCACTAGCCATAATTATGTACACACTTCTTATTACGTAATGGTTTCAAGGTTTTGTAATGATTATTTTAAGTCTATTTATCCACGTTTGACCTACTACTACTATTGACAAAAACATTTGTTATCGTATTTTATAATTTTCTTCCTACTACTACCAATACACCTGTCTTCCTACTATCAACCCGTACTTTTGCTTCTTATATGTAGTGACGTAATCAATTTCATTTCATTGTAATTACTGACTCAAATTGCCTTGATTGGTTTAACATTTTCATACATAAATATTCATGTATATTTATAGTATAAAGCCTGATGACGTTCTAATCGAAACTAACAATATTATTTCGCTTATATGCGTATTGTTCTAACATGAATCATTATTGTAAATTATTGAAATCTATTTTTTAAGAGAAAATATATTCTTACCTTTTAATATGAATTTTTCTTTAGTTAATCCTAACGCATTCTCAGCATAACACCAATATTCACCGCTATCAATAAGAATTAAACTATTTATTTCCAATATGGATTCCACATGACCAGGTGATCGTCTAATTTGAATTGGGTTTTTTTTGTAAAAAATTAAATTTAAATAAAACAAAATTTTAAAAACAAACAAACACAATATGTTCAATAAATATGATAGTAAGAGTTAAATTGTCAATTTTCAACTGTCTATAGTTTGATCTATAGTAGGTTGATCAGTAGTTGTTGATACCATCAATCCTAGACATACACTAAACAGAAACAGAGCAGAAAGCGGCACACAATGTTAACATCATCAGTACCCTATGTCATATTATATATATATGTCTAGTTTGAGTAGGGAAAAAGCAAAAACACTTCACTACTCAATTCTTATTGGTTCACAATCTAGAATAATTTTAGTTGGGCTAAAGCAAAACAAACTGATAGAATTAAAGATTCTTTTATGTGTAATTAGAAAAGTGTAGATGTAGGTTAATTGAGGCAAAAAGATTCGAAGTACCCTCGTAAATACAGAAAAACAAAAGAGGGGAAAAAGAGAAGTATTGTAAATCTGTACTTTGGTAATAATCTGAATTATAATCAATTCAACTCAAGCAAATAAAGTTGGCAAATGATATATATGTATAA